GCTTAAAAAAAATAAGATAAATTTAAAAAACAACGTGAAGGGCACTTGGATTTAATTCTGCATTTATAATAAACATTTGTTTCTTCAAAATTTGCAGAGTCTTTCAAAGGAAAGGATTATTGTGTATTCCTTGTTCTTTTTTTTTTTTTTTCAACGTTTATTTATTTTTGGGACAGACAGAGACAGAGCATGAATGGGGGAGGGGCAGAGAGAGAGGGAGACACAGAATCGGAAACAGGCTCCAGGCTCTGAGCCATCAGCCCAGAGCCTGACGCGAGCCTGACGCGGGGCTCGAACTCACGGACCGCGAGATCGTGACCTGGCTGAAGTCGGACGCTTAACCGACTGCGCCACCCAGGCGCCCCTGTGTATTCCTTGTTCTAATTTATCAACGGTGGCAAGACTCTGTGGACTTTTGAGGCAATTTAGGTGCTTAGGCACCTTTTCTTTCTAAAACAAAAATTCGCTTTCACGGTCAACTCGAGGTGATTGGAATTTTACGACACTTGGACAGATCCAAAACACACCCCCAGAGGGGACGCACGGAGCGTAAGTTGGTCATTAGGAGAAGTCACGTCAGACTTGGAAGCAGAAATTCAGAAGCCAGAAGCCTACCACCTTTGGGAGTCTGGAGGCACTGTCTGCAGACCAGCTCAACCTAAACTCTGGGATAATGAAAGTGAGCATTTATGGAGTGCTTACTGTGTGCCAGGCACAGTTATGAGAGCTTTATCGGATGAGCTCACTTAGTCTTCCCATCAACCTTGGGAAGAAGGTATTATTAGTATTATCCCCATCAGACGTGAAGAAACTGAGCCCATAGAGGGTCAGTAATCTCACAAGATCACACAGCCCGCGTGTGGCAAGATGGGAATCTGAGCCCCGGCCATCCAGCGTGAGGTCTTCACCTCCTGCTACAGAAGCAGAGCGTGACACAGGCCTGTCCTCGGGTGACGGGCACAATGGGCGGGCCTTCTGAAAATTAACATCGGAAAATCACTAAAATGTCGTCGGGAGGGTTGGGCAGAGGGGAGCTCTCGTGAGCTCCCACCTGGAGTCCACTGCAGACCCAACAGGAAGAGACGGACTTGACCTTACACAGACGTGACCTTGTACATGGATACTACTGCAGCCTGAGGGAGGAAGTCTTTCCTCCTCTCCCGCCAGCGACAGCTCAGCCAGTGAGAAGCCACCACACTTCCAAATCCCAGTATATGGCGATGAACTTTAGCTCAGAACAGCCTTCCCCACGGACTCCTGCCCTCTTTTAAAAAGCGTGCCTTCCCTTTGCTCCTGGGGCTTCCGAACGGTTTTGCCACAGCGCCATTTGTCCGAGATCGCGATTCTCTTTTAGTCCCGGCTAAGTCTATCTTTTGCTGGTAACATAACTGGCAGGATTTTTACCTTCGAGATCGACAGCCCTTCGGAGGGCGTCACCAGCCTTCGCTGCGAGCCAAGCCGACCCTGGCAGTTTCCGTGTCCCTGCGCCTGCCCCAAACAAGCAGGGAAACGGGGAGCCGTGGCAGGAGTTGGCCTGGGCGGGCTCCTGGGTGCAGGCCTGTGAGGTGGTGAGGAAGGCAGGCCTGGTGGGGAGGAAGCCGATCTGCCGAGGGACAGGAAGTGAGGCCCCTGGCCGCTCTGAGCCCATCCCCTGGGGAGTCCTGCTGTTGGGCTGGCCCAAACTGAGGCAAAGGGGTTACTAGGAGTTCAAATGTGGCCCCCCAAAAAAGATGAAGTTCTAACTCCCAGGACCTGCAAACCTGACATTATTTCTTGGGAATACGGTCTTTGCGGATGATCAAGTGCAGATGAGGTCAGTTAAGGGCAAGGCCTGATCCGATACGACCGTGCCCTTCCAAAAAGGGGAAATTTAGGCACAGGCCCCAGACACGCCAAGAGGGAAGATGAAGCGAAGACACAGGGGGAGCGGCACTTACCAGGAACTCCTGAGGTCACCAGAAGCCCAGACACGGGCCTGGAACAGGCTGTCCCCCACCCCCTCAGCCCGGAGCCTGCTTCAGACTCTGTGTCTCCCTCTCTCTCTGCCCCGCCCCCCCCCCCCCCCCTCCCCCAAAAATAAACATTAAAAAAAAAAAAAGCAGCACTCAAAGGTCAGAGAAGCAGAGGTCGCAAATCCTCTGTCCAAACCAAGGACGTTCGTCAAGGGGTTCGACGACGCGATTCAGACAACCGCGGGCGTGAGCGTTGCCAACACGCTGTTGGGCTGAAGGGGTGAGACGCGGGGTGCCCGACGGGTGACTCCGCTTCTGTATGAAGTGTGATCGCAGGCAGGCAAACCTGTGTCCCCAGAAACCTGGACGGACGGTGGTTGCCTTTGGGGGGGGTAATGACGGGGAGGGGACCCAGGGGGCTGGGAATGGGGCCAATGTTCTGACTTTGAGGCGGGGCCCGCTTAAACCAGCGCGTGCAGTTTGCGAAAATTCACTTTCGCAAGTATAAGCTTTACACTTACGATGGGTGCGTTTTTTTTTTTGTTTGGTTTTTTTAGTTTTTTTTTTTTTAATTTTTTTTCAACGTTTTTATTTATTTTTGGGACAGAGAGAGACAGAGCATGAACGGGGGAGGGGCAGAGAGAGAGGGAGACACAGAATCGGAAACAGGCTCCAGGCTCTGAGCCATCAGCCCAGAGCCTGACGCGGGGCTCGAACTCACGGACCGCGAGATCGTGACCTGGCTGAAGTCGGACGCTTAACCGACTGCGCCACCCAGGCGCCCCTTTTTTTAGTTTTTTAATGTTTATTCGTTTTTTTGAGAGAGACAGAGCGTGAGCAGGGGAGGGGCAGGGTGGGAGGGAGACGCAGAATCCGAGGCAGGCTCCAGAGCCTGGAGTGCGGGCGATTTGGCGCGCCAAGCACAGGGGAACGAGAGAGGGTGGTGGGAGGTCACGGAGCCCACGCAGCGATAGACAGACCTGCTTCTGATTCCGTAGCACAGATGGGCCACTGATGGATTTTAATGAGAAAAACGGGACAAGGGGTTCTGCGCCGTGGCAGTGAGGGAGCCAGGCCTCCTCGTGGAGACCCACCTGATACTATCCCTCCCGAAATGGCTCTGACGCTGGCCCTGGGCCCACCCTGCTCCTCCCCTAGGAGGCCTCTCCCTCCCAACTCCACTCCCCGCCCACACCTGCCAGTTGGAATTTAGCTGACACTTCATGGTTGAATGGGGAATGAATGAATGAATGAATGAACGAACGAACGAACGCACGAACTAACGAACAAACGAACGGACGGAGACCCACCTTTCCGCACCAAGCAGGAGGCACCCACGTCCGGAGTCCCAGAACACTGTCTCCCCTCCCTTATGGCCCTGACAGCACTGACCTTATCTCCCTGATTGGACCATAAACTCCCCCAAACACAACCGCCAGGCCTGACACATCCCCCAGCACAGAGGGAATGGACTTTTATTAAATGTCTTCCCCGTGCCAGGGACTTTATGTGCCTTGAATCCTCTTACAACGTGGCGAGGAAGGAGGAATCACCACGGCTCCCTGGAGGAAGAAGCCAGCGCATTCACACGAAGCGACCTGCCCACAGCTGGGACGGCGAGAGCGCGCAGGTGGAGGGGTGAAGCCGGGGCATGGAAGTCTGTGTACCTTCTAGACCCTGGGTTACCTGGGAAGGCGGCTTCGCCACCCACCTCTTGACAGTGTGAAAAATATGGGGGCCCCGGGTGGCTCAGTCGGTGGAGCGTCCGACTTCGGCTCAGGTCATGATCTCGCGGTTCGTGGGTTCGAGCCCCGCGTCGGGCTCTATGCTGACAGCTCAGAGCCTGGAGCCTGCTTTGGATTCTCTCTCTCTCTCTCTCTCTCTCTCTCTCTCTGCCCCTCCCCCACTCACACTCTGTCTCTCTCTTTCTCTCAAAAAAATAAACATTGAAAAAAAAAAAGTCTGATACTCAACCAACTGAGCCACCCAGGCACCCCCCCCCCTCCCAAAGTTAAGCTTTATTTATCCTGCCAATTCCTTACAGATTGATTGCCCCTTTGTCTAAAAAATATAACAACTGTCTGCCTTGGTCATTTCTTCAGGTCTCAACTTCATCACAGGGCCTCTGTGGGCTCATAATACAACACCAGGCCTTTTGTTTTTGTCTCCTGTTAATCTGTCTCACGTCAATTTAATTCTTAGCCCACTGGAAGATCTTGAGGATAGAGAATGTTTCCTTCCCTTCAACCCCACCGTGTGGGGCGGGCTGAGGGGGGGCAGGGCACACGGCAGAGACAGGGGTCACCGCAGAGGTGCGCGTTGTGGAGGTGACACGGGGTCTCCACGGGCCTGCTGGGTCTGCAGGTGACAACCTGCAGGAGGCAGCCGAGTGGATTGTTCCGGGTCTCAGAGGGGAGGTGGGCACGGGAGAAGAACACCCGGGAAAGACGGAGGACAGGGGTGTGCTGGTGAACCACGGACTGTAAAAAAAAAAAAAAAATTCACTTACAAGGTGCACCCGCACAGTTCGAGCCCCCGTCGTTGAAGGCTCAACGGTAGTTCCCTGAAGAAAAGTAAAAGCCCTCATTCATCCTTTCTGTCGATCACTGCATGCTTCCACCATGGCCAAGGTCAACCTACAAATGGCCGGCTCATTGTATGAATAAGAAACAGCTCACCAAGCCGGTGGGAGCAGCCTCCAGTCGGTTGCCACTGGGAGGGGCGGGTCCACGACCACCCCGGTAATTCACAAGCACCTACTGGGTCCCCCAGGGCACCACGTGCCTGGTGGCATTCACACCTCAAAACAGGCTCTCCTCCTCTCAAAGCAGAAAGGGAAGACTCAAAGGGGTGCTTTGCTCAAGGCCACAGCCCCCAACCAGCAGGTGGAGAGTCCGTGATTCAAACCCAGGCAGACAGACGCCCTGCTGAGCTCAGTGGTTTCACGAGTAGCCAGTTTTATCGGGCTTTTATTCCAGTCCCTATTAGGTCACCAACATTTCCTCACACTATTCAACTCGTCCAGGAGCCCCAGATCTTAGTGGCGGGATGACTATTCCAGTGAGGACGATCAGGACAAGGGACACCGGCAAAAAGGAATGGGGGTCTGGGTGTGGCTCCAGAGCCCTCAAGGTGGGGCAGCTAGCTCAGACCTTCCCGGGTCAGGACCCCTCCAGCACAGCCCTGGCCCTGCTGAAACCAGGGTCGGCACCTGTCCTGAGCTTGCTCGGGATTCCCAGTCGGGTGAGCCTCAGGGAGTTCATCTCCGTCCCAGCGGCCAAAACTGTAAGCAGATGACCTGAGGGCTTGAAGCAGCCATACTCTGGCCTCTGTGGAGGCAGCCAGTCTGGAAGAGACAAGAATGAATCGAGGCAGAGAGGAAAAAAAAAACTCCTGCGGGGCTGGAGCCTCTGGTGCTGGGTGCCCCCGAGCCACAGCCCCACTGCTATCTTGGAATCTGAGCAAATTTCTCTGTTTCCTTAAACTACTTCAAGTTGGCTTCCCGCCCTGTGGACCCAAGAGAATCTCCAGAGACCTGCCTTGACAGGATGCAGCCTGGACTGCCCCTCCTGACAGAGTGCTTTGTCATGACTAGACTCAGCTGTAAATACCAGAAAACCCCCAAGTCAGATAGCCTAGACCAGACAGAAATTTAATTCGCTTTTACATAAATGGGGTCTGGAGATAGGGTGCCCAGGGCTAATGTGACACTTCATAATCCCGGGGACCCAGCCTCCTTTCATACTATTGCTATCATCTTCAGTCTATAACTTGTGGCCCAAGATGGCTGCTGGAGCTCCAGCCATCATATCTACATTCCAGTCAGTAGTGAAAAGGAAGAAGGGGTTGGGAAAACTGTTTTTTAAGGGCAACGCCTGGAAGTCCCATACACCACTTTTACTTCTATTGGTCAAAATGTAATCACAGGGCCACAGCTCAGCGGAACACAGACAACGTCCTTCTTGCTGGGCTCCAAACGTGTCCAGTTACAATTTGTGTTACTGAGGAAGGACGGGGCACGAATATCAGAGGACTCTCTTCCAAAACCGTATTCCTTCTGCAGAGGTGGAGGGCATCCGGAACCGTCAGCCCCTGAGGCCCTCTAAATTGAGAAGTTTCCCGACAGCTGTTTGGAGAACGGATTCCACCCAAAAGAAACCACCAGCAGTGGGCCAGTGGATGTAGCTCACCTGGGGCAGGTGGCAGCTGGGGAGCTCGCACAAGGCCAAGGATCCCCTGCTAAGTCCTTCTCTCCTGTCTTGTTAATCTTCTGCTAGAGGCCAGCCTTGTCAGTTCAGAGAGAGAGAGAGAGAGAGAGAGAGAGAGAGAGAGAGAGAGAAACCACCCCAGTCCCACCCAGGGGCAAAGTCCCTTCCTGACTGGCTGGGAGCCGGCAACTAATCTATAATCCGGTCTCGCCATGTGGCAGCCACAGTGAGGGTTTACCCGTGATCGCCAGGAGCTGTACGTGAGGTGGCGCCCTGATCTCCAGCAGCCCCCCAGAGATGGAAAGCCCAACCCCCAACCTGCGTGGATGAGCGCCCATGCCCTCACCCGCAACGTCCAGGGCTCACGCAGAGCACATCCAATGGAGCTCTGCAAGGCAGGGCCATCCCGGTCCACCCCTTCACGGGGTGAGAAGAGAGGGAGTAGAAGAACTAGATTGAGAACTTGTGTCCCCGCATCAGCTTCCGGAGAAGAGCGCGGTGAGGTGGCACAGGACGGGGCGGCATCATAACAAAAGCTGGACACGTCGCAGCTACAGTAACAGGGTCACGGCCAAGCGACAGGAAGAATCTGGTGGCAATGGGAGGATGGACTGGAGACACAGGGATAGGAGGACGAGCTGGGGGCCTGAGCTTCCGGGAGAAGAACAGAGGGTGTCCTGACCCGTGGGGCACTCCCGGGACTATGAGCACTAACCAGTCCCTTGGCCACATTTGTTAGTGGTCTGACCAGTTCTCTACGGAAGAGGAATTGGGGGGGGGGGGTAGAGAGTGGAAATCATCAGGTAGCTTTCGGACACCCAGACAAAAGGGGAAGGGTGTTCCAGGCCAAGGGAACAGCAGGGGCAAAGGCAGGGCTGTGCCCCTCTCGTGGTGTCCCTAAAGCATCAGGCAGGCGCACGGCTAGGAGAACTGCCTTTTGGAAGGCATCTTTGTAAAAGATTATGAAAGAGAGATCTCTCTCTCTCTCTCCCTCTCTTCTCTCTGCCCCTCTCCTACTTGCACTCTCTTCCTCAATCAATCAATCAACAAACAAACTTAAAAAGAAAGTAAAGCATCTCAGTAATTTTTTACGTTGACTATATATTGAAATGACAATGGTTGGGATACAGTGCGTTAAATAAAACAGATTATTAAAATTAAGTCTGCCTTGGCACAAAAACAGACACATAGACCAATGGAATAGAATAGAAACCCCAGAACTAGACCCACAAACGTATGGCCAACTCATCTTTGACAAAGCAGGAAAGAACATCCAATGGAAAAAAGACAGTCTCTTTAACAAATGGTGCTGGGAGAACTGGACAGCAACATGCAGAAGGTTGAAACTAGACCACTTTCTCACACCATTCACAAAAATAAACTCAAAGTGGATAAAGGACCTGAATGGGAGACAGGAAACCATCAAAACCTTAGAGGAGAAAGCAGGAAAAGACCTCTCTGACCTCAGCCGTAGCAATCTCTTACTCGACACATCCCCAAAGGCAAGGGAATTAAAAGCAAAAGTGAATTACTGGGACCTTATGAAGATAAAAAGCTTCTGCACAGCAAAGGAAACAACCAACAAAACTAAAAGGCAACCAACGGAATGGGAAAAGATATTTGCAAATGACATATCGGACAAAGGGCTAGTATCCAAAACCTATAAGGAGCTCACCAAACTCCACACCCGAAAAGCAAATAACCCAGTGAAGAAATGGGCAGAAAACATGAATAGACACTTCTCTAAAGAAGACATCCGGATGGCCAACAGGCACATGAAAAGGTGTTCAGCGTCGCTCCTTATCAGGGAAATACAAATCAAAACCACACTCAGATATCACCTCACGCCAGTCAGAGTGGCCAAAATGAACAAATCAGGAGACTATAGATGCTGGAGAGGATGTGGAGAAACAGGAACCCTCTTGCACTGTTGGTGGGAATGCAAATTGGTGCAGCCGCTCTGGAAAGCAGTGTGGAGGTTCCTCAGAAAATTAAAAAATAGACCTACCCTATGACCCAGCAATAGCACTGCTAGGAATTTATCCAAGGGACACAGGAGTACTGATGCATAGGGGCACTTGTACCCCAATGTTCATAGCAGCACTCTCAACAATAGCCAAATTATGGAAAGAGCCTAAATGTCCATCAACTGATGAATGGATAAAGAAATTGTGGTTTATATACACTATGGAATACTACGTGGCAATGAGAAAAAATGAAATATGGCCTTTTGCAGCAACGTGGATGGAACTGGAGAGTGTGATGCTAAGTGAAATAAGCCATACAGAGAAAGACAGATACCATATGGTTTCACTCTGACGTGGATCCTGAGAAACTGAACAGGAACCCATGGGGGAGGGGAAGGAAAAAAAAAAAAAAAGAGGTTAGAGTGGGAGAGAGCCAAAGCATAAGAGACTGTTGAGAACTGAGAGCAAACTGAGGGTTGATGGGGGGTGGGAGGGAGGAGAGGGTGGGTGATGGGTATTGAGGAGGGCACCTTTTGGGATGAGCACTGGGTGTTGTATGGAAACCAATTTGACAATAAATTTCATATAAAAATAAAAAAAATAATAAAAAAAAAGAAAAATAAATAAAATAAAATAAAATTAAGTCTGCCTGTTTCTTTTGTGGTTTTGATCCCAAATTTATTTAACTACGGAACCGTTTCTTTTTTTCAAGGGGGAACTCGTACTCTACGGCACAGAGGATGGAGATGTATCTTAAGTTGTAAAAACTCCATGATTCAATTCGTAAATTTCTGAGGCAAGACCTTCACGGAAATAGTCTCTTACCAACGAGGCTTTCCTCGTTCTTTTTCAGAAGCAAGCTTCCCTCTTTCCGAGCATGCGCTTGCCATGACAACGTGATTTGGCGATGTGCCCGTCTCTAAGACTGTCGGGCTCTGCTGACTGCCCAAGTGTGCGCAGATTTTCAAAGTCCCCGTGATCAGGGCCTGTTCTTTTCAAAAAACTGGTCTCCATACTGTCATCTTTACGTTTATGCCTGTACTTCAGCTCTGTTTTTTTGTTTTGTTTTGTTTTTAATTTTATCTATCTTTCCCCGAACTTCAAAGTTTGGTACGTGGCCCTTCTACCAACTTTCCCTGGCAGTTCTGGTCTGCTCTGATCTTTTTACAAACTCCATTGTTCCCACTTCATGATTTTTTTTTAATTTATTTACTTTTGAGAGAGAGAGTGTGAGCAGAGGAGGGGCAGAGAGAGAAGGAGACACAGAATCCAAAGCAGGCTCCAGGCTCTGAGCTGTCAGCACCGAGCCCGAGGCGGGGCTCGAACTCACAAACCGTGAGATCGTGACCTGAGCCGAAGTCGGACGCTTAACCGACTGAGCCACCCAGGCGCCCCAGTCCACTTTATTATTTAATTTTTTTAATGTTTTACTTATTTTTGAGACAGAGAGAAACAGCATGAGTGGGGAAGGGGCAGAGAGAGAGGGAGACACAGAATCCCAAGCAGGCTCCAGGCTCTGAGCTGTCAGCACAGAACCCGAGGTGGGGCTCGGACCCATGAACCATGAGATCATGATCTGAGCCGAAGTTGGATGCTTAACCGACTGAGCCACCCAGGTGCCCCAATTATTATCACTTTAGAATCATCAGTGGAGGGGTGTCCAGGTGGCTCAGCCAGCTGGACATCTGACTTCGGCTCAGGTCATGATCTTGTGGTTCGTGAGTTTGAGCCCCGCGTCGGGCTCTGTGCTGACAGCTCAGCGCCTGGAGCCTGTTTCGGATTCTGTGTCTCCCTCTCTCTCTGCCCCTCCCCTGCTCATTCTCTGATTCTCTCTTTCAAAAATAAACATTAAAAAAAAATCATCCTTGGGGCTTCTGCCCCCCAAATGCACAACCCTTAGACCCACCCTTGAAAGATGATTTAGTGGGTCTAGTATGGAGCCCAGCTACCTGTACGTTCACAAAGCTCTGATGATTCTGATACCCAGGAGTGAAAATTAGCTCTCTGACGTATAATACACTGCTTATACCAATCAATTAGGTATGTGCTCAGAGCTTCCTGTGGGTCCCTGCCTGGGGCTTTGGGATGCACGGCTGAACACAGCAGTACC